TAGTAGTAGTAGTCGTAGTAGTCGTAGTAGTCGTAGTAGTCGTAGTAGTAGTAGTAGTAGTAGTAGTAGTACTAGTACTAGTACTAGTACTAGTAGTACTAGCAGTACTAGTAGTAAAAGTAGTACGAGTAGTAGTAGTAGTAGTAGTAGTAGTAGTAGTACTAGTACTAGTACTAGTAGTACTAGCAGTACTAGTAGTAAAAGTAGTACGAGTAGTAGTAGTAGTAGTACTAGTACTAGTACTAGTACTAGTACTAGTACTAGTACTAGTAGTACTAGCAGTACTAGCAGTACTAGTAGTAAAAGTAGTACAAGTAGTAGTAGTAGTAGTAGTAGTACTAGTACTAGTAGTAGTAGTAGTAGTAGTAGTAATAGGGTGGTAGCCGTATAACCAATCGCCAACCAATCGCTCAGCCTATCGCGACGCAGGTTTTAGCAATCGCGCAAAACAAAGTAAACGCATCAATTCATAAATTTGTGACCTGCTTTTACGGACGGCTCCCATATATAATCTTGAAACCAAACATGGCGATATGATGCGATATGAGCTAATAACCTTTGGGAGTTCGCCGAGAATCGGAGTAGGGGTTTCACGGTTTCACCAACACTACTTGGATTTTTCAGGAATCTGATGATCTAAACATGCATAGTCGAACCTTCAAAAAGCAACAAAATTCGACTAGAGGATTCAACCAGCGATGACAATTCTGGAGGACTCACACGTTTTTCCATATAACATCATAACCATCCTGGGAAATGGACATGCTCTTCTTGTTGGGATTGAATGTCCCGCAACAATGGAACAACACACAAGCCCCTCCCTGGATACCAATGCCAGGCAGCAGAATGCGATGCGCACGAGTCCTGATTCCGATGGCATCCCAAATCCCGGCATTCAAAGCGTTCAAACCGTTCAGGTACATGAATCATGGGCTGCAAATATCATTAATATGATATGATATGATATGATATGATATGATCATATATATTGATGACGGGTCTGCCTAATATGTTTAAGATATAAAATGATTTAAACCAGTCCAAACCCAACTCCAAGATGAACGCATACGGGACCACATGGGGTTACACATAACTGGCGGTTAGCGTGGGAGTCGAGATGATGTCCGCCACATTTATAAGTACTGGTGTCCCCCTCTCAATGTAAGCTTCCATTTTTAACTTTGGCAAGCGTATCAAAAAAATGTTATTACAATCAAAAAAATATTCCCCAGCAATCAAAAACAAATATTATTACAATCAAAAAAAATATTCCGGCCAAACTCATTGTTCCCCTAACATCCCCTAACCATTTCCTATGGTTTTCCTCAGTTTTTCCATGGTTTTGCTTCAATTTTCCATGGCGTTCATCAATTTGTCCACGTGTTTTCTTCGGTTTTCTATCCGGTTCATCGTTTTTTCCACGGTTGTGCTTCAATTTTCCGTGGCCTTCCTCGATTTTGCCACGTTTTTCTTCAGTTTTCTATGGCATTCATAGATTTTCCATTGTTTGGTTCAGTTTCCATGTTTTCAATGGTTTATCCATGGTGCTGTAGCTTGAATGTGGTACTCCATGTGTGCATACTGCAGAACATGCCCTTTGTGAACGTGTAGAATGTAAGTCGAGGCACCATGGTGTTGGATGCAAAGAAGTTCATGGCAATTTATGTGTTTTTATGTGTTTTTTATATCTGTGTGTCTGTGAAATGTGTGTGTGTAAAGATATTTTTACACATCGAATAGTGTGTTCTGCGAGCGCACAAGCTTGGTTTTAAACAAGGGGGAAGGGGGGGAACACAAACCCTGTTCTCACGGGTATTGCTGTAGTTGACGGGCCTTGAATGTGTCACTCTTGGTTGTAAATAAAGAAGCGGGAGGGGGGGATCACGCACTTCATAGCATTGTCCGGGATCACGCATGCATTCAAAGATTCAGGCAATCCATGGAAAGCTGTGAGGCAAGCAGTGCTGGGCACATGATATTCCATTTTGCCGGGCGCGGCGCGACTGGCCGACCCCCACCCTCCATCTTTCGACAGCTCATACACATCATAATAAAATGAACGCACAGCTTTCTGTGCCGCATGCGATGGCTTCAGGATAGATGCGGCTGGAATGGACGGTCCAAAACGGGTTGCTGTGCCTAGCCAAATCTTCCGAAACAAGAGTTCGACAACAGAGGACCCCAACAGGCCAGTCGACCTGTCAACTATTGCCACGATCTGTCGCTGTCATCAAGATTCGGGCCGAAAATCCACATTGATGATTCTGCTCAACTTTCACCCACCATCTGCGGAACAGAGTAAATTGTTGAAACAGGCAAAGATTGACATTGGTGGGATTAAATTCCAGCAAAGGCGGATGTTGTTTTGAGGATTTGGATTGCTTCTCCTCGCTGCCAGTGCCCCACTCGAACTTCCCCCCGTTGGCGCACTCCAGCCAACGAGTGAAGTCGAGATACTTGCCTACATCAACAGATTTCTTCACAGGAAACGCAGGATCAAGAATTGGTTTCGCTTCGGGCCCCCAGAGGAGAAGAACCCCTTCCAAAGAACGAAGTCTTTCCTGGATCTTGCCATTGTTTCCTACCCCGCAAAAATGATCAATGGCCCAAAACAATTCCCTGTGCTCATGCACGAGCTTTTGAAAAGCATTGGAGAGGAACGAGCAGGTGGGAGATTTGCCTGCATTGGGGTCGCCGACTGGGCAAGCCCACCATCGAGCTTTGCTTGTGAAGTTTTCACTTTCACGCGCATACAACCCCACAGATAGGTCTTTGTTTTGGCACGAAGCCAAGCAAGCTTGAAACAAGTCAAAGGCAAAAATCCGCGGAAACCCGCAGCCACAGTGCAAATACTCACATGCAACTGCCAAGCGCAAGCTTGTGGTCCGTGGGAGGACAGCTGGCAGTTGGGCCGCTTGTTCAACAAGAATTCTTTGTGACCGGATTCTTTCCAAATTGTCCAAGGAATGCTGCAGCAAAAGTATGACCTGAAATGTATTGGCTGTATTCGGGAATACTCTCCCAAAAATCCTGATGCAACGCACAGTCACCACGCGTGTTGGCCAACATTGCAAAGTAGTAGTCAACTTCACCCTGCGGATCATCCAGATAACATGCAGGTGGCATCTGCCTCAGCCCAGCTCCAAATCCATGAATGTCAAGGGAAGCGGTGGTGCCTTCATGAAGCAATGATGGCGTTGGTACGAGGGACTGCTGCGTTGCACAAACACGCTCCAATTGACTGTCCGCAAGCAAATTGGGTACATCAACACTGTGTGAATCCAGAGCACGGGAAGTCCATGATGCAGGAACGGGCGGCACTCCTGATGAAGCCATGGAAGCAGGACCATTTGAAGCAAGCAAGGGCGCCGCTGCCACAGGGCTGTCTTCTATTTCCAAAATTTCATCAAGGTTCTGAAGAGCAAGCCCAATCCAAGGCAGCATCAAGGTTTGAAGGATGCAGCTCTGCTGCCTGACGAGCAATGGACCTCGGAATCTCCAGAGACACAAGAGTTTTGCACATTTCATCTTCCAATAATCCTTCGCCTTGCATGTGTGGGCACCTGCGGGCACGCTTCACATTTGCCTCCCATCTCCTTTGAAAGCCGCAAACACAAACTCCAAACATTGCCACACAAGAGCAACCAGCGCGTAGGATTTGCAACTCTGCCTGTAGCTCGTCACTGGAGTCCGAATCCAGCAGTGTCTCTGCCACAGGCACTGCAGACGTTTGTGACAATGTGGATGGAGCACTATTGAGCTGGGTAGAATTTGGCTGCAAACATGCGGGGAAGGAACCTTCAAAGTCAAACACGGGCGAAGAATTGCTAGGCCGCTAGGCAAGAAACCAAGCTCCAGGGGCTGGACAGGGAGAAGCTCAGACGTCAACGCCAGCATTGCGTTCGGATTCCAAAGCAGCTGTGAGTGGAGGCATCTGCTCTGTGACAAAGACTGGATGAACCGGGACAGCAACCACGGGCGACGAACTGCCATGCAAGGAACCACGATCCTGGGGCTGGGAAGAACCTTCGGCACTGCCACTGGTGCAATCAGAATCCAAAGCAGTTGTGACCGGAGGCGTCCGCTCTGTGCCAAGGTTTGGATTCACTGGGACAGCAGTGGGAACAGTGACAGACATGACGGTGGAAGAAACACATGACTGCTGACAGATTCGGCAGAATGGATCCGAACAGGGCCGCTCGTTGCCCTCTTCCTTCCTTCCTTCCTTCCTTCCTTCCTTCCTTCCCCTGTCCGAGAATATTTTTTTTGATTGTAATAATATGTTTTTTTGATTGTAATATTTTTTTATATAAGATGCCTTTAGCTGTGGAGTGAGGTCGGGATTTGAGGTGAATTTGTTGAGTGATCGGCCCATTTTTGCGCGCCTCCACATGGTCTGCTTTGGTTTTTGGATCTTTCGTTGCAACTGAATGAATCAGCCGATGTGAATGAGACAGAACTCCCTAACTTCTGCATGATTCTCGAAGAGTGATACAGTAATTTAATATACTTTAGTTGTATTTCCGTATTTTTCCAGTTGTTTTGCGAACAATCTCAGGGAAACCCAAAAACACCTCATTGACGCCACCTTGTTGTTGGTGTGTCAGCTAAATTACGTCCAAGTTGTTTTTAACAAAACAATATTGGTGGGGGCAAAACTTCCTCAAAAATTCGGAGGAGTTCGTTGCCAAAATCCATGAATTGATTTAGGGCAAATTTAAAGTGGAAACAACTGGCGGATAAACATGGTTTCAACCGTAACAATTTCCCAACCAACCCAATGACATTAAAATCATTTAAAATCCTTATTAGATGTTTTTCAAAATGGAGTGTCCTTTAGACATATTTCTTATATTCCTTTCAACAACCGAAATTTTGGAGTACCCTATGGTAATTTAACTTTTTGTTATTGAAAACGGCCCATGTATAGTTGATTTCCCGTAATGAAACATTGTGATGTTCCAATATGTTCCATAGCTATGTAAACGTTTAAGGCAGGCGTCCAAGGCTTTGGCGTAGGAGTCCTTCACCACTTGGGCCTCGACTGTCCGGGACATCTCTGCTGAGCCATGAAGTCAGATATAAAATGATATAAACATATCCCATCCCATACTGGTTGAATAAATTACACATATTCTACCATTCATAAAGTAGAGTATAACGGTTCAATCAATCCCTGGAAAAAACCAGGTGGCGCAACCCACCAAATGGTGACCGAATCCTCCATGGTAGTTGATAAAAACCATGGCATTTCTGTGGCTGTTTCGAGCGTTGGAGAGCTTTGGTAAACCCCCCACATAGAAAGCAATCATCATTTGATGCTGTGTTTGCAAGCTATGAATGCCTATATTACTCAATTTTGTGTCATGATTTTCTCGTGCATCTATTGCATGGCTACGAAAACTTGACGGAAATAGCTCGGAAACATTACCAACTATTTAGAAGTTTACATCATTTCACGATATGTTCTCTGATTCCAAAGGTCTCTGCTTGCTGCAAGCAGAAACCTCAAAAAAAGCCCAAGGTGCTGCCATCTTCAGGGTCGAGGTGTCTGGCTTCCTCATCGCGATGATGTTCGGAGCCCGATGGGGACAGCCCCGCTGAGCCCAATATGTTGGGACCAGCAAAATGCATGGAGGAATCTGGATGAATATGGATTATCTAGGGTTATTATATGTTATTATGGCTTATTAAACATCATATAACATCATATAACATCATATAACACTTGGAATGGACTGATGAACAGATCTCAGAATACTTGAAGATATAAACTGAGGATGATTCAACATGGGGAGTTCCATTGTCCATGCCATCGCTGCGTTGTACATGGGGAGCTTCTTGGATGGTCGCCCCCAAGCAATGGCATCCAAGTCTCTTCATGCCCGCCACTTCAAAGCGGTGCACCAACAAGCTCATTCCCTGCCGCTGAGACCGCTGAGATGCGTATCGCTCAGGATCTTCCAACCGGTGTCAACCAACGTTATGTTCCGGTCAACAAACGTGTGAAGACAACATTGACATTTGGGGAGATATCTAACCATATCTAACCCATATGGCCATGGATACCTATACAATTTCTTAGGGGATGAACATCCATAAATTTCAGCTTTGGATCACCAGGGGTTTGACATGTTTTGACCCATCCCATCCTTCGGAGTTGAGACCCTGAGACCCGATTTTGGACAGCGCACCTGGAAGGCCACGGCTGCCTGCTTCAGGGTCTGCATGGCCAACGTGGAGCCGCAGCCCTCGTCCGCCACGAACTTGCCTTGAAAGCTACGCAAAGCGACGCGACGCGACGACGCGAGGCCCGGCACTGCGCAGCAGCGGAAGCGAGGAGTTTTACTGCAGTAAGATTTATAAAAGGGAGATGATCACTGAGAATAACTTTAGGGTCAAAGCTTACTGATTTATAAAAATCAGTGATCATCTACAATTACATTTCACTGCTCATTTGCAAATGTAATTTTCAGCAGTGGGTAGATAGCATCACCTATGATCATAACCAATCCTCTATATAAGACCTCAAGGGGTGGGGGATTTGGTTACCCAGAAACAGTATGTAGTCAAATCTGCCATTCCACTGTCTCTGCTGGACTTTGTGTTCCCAATATAGTTGTTGATCATATCCCAACTTGTATCCCTATAGCTGAGCGGGTGTCCTCGATTATACAATCAGTTTTATAGGTTTCATCAATCCAGTTGATGAATAACAGAAATATATATATATATTTATTCAGAAACTCATTGAAAGATACCCAATATTGCCAATAGCTGATATTCTTCTCCAATAATCAATTATTATTGGGTATCCTCCATTCACCCGCATCCAGTAGCAACCAACATTCTCATTAATACACTGATTCCATTCACTAGCTTATTCCATACACTGATTGTCATGACTAACATGGTCAATATTCATTGGATATATATATATAATAATAATGATAATAATAATAATAATAATACATAATAATAATACATAATAATAATAATAATAAATAATATATAATAAATAAAGAACTATTAGTTCCATGATGTTCCATGAATTAATATCATTATCACCAAGGATACTTCGCCATCGCATCACTCAGCGAACTCCCGAACTCCGAGTCACCAAAGAGATCTCCATCTTGGATCACCGAGGCGAGTTCTCCAATCCTCAAAATCTCAGTTTCTTCGATGGCTTCCATGGAAGGCCTGGCTGACAATGTCATAGTTGCCATGTTTGAAGTTTAGAAATTCTATGAAACTCTACCATTAAAAAGAACATCCAACATACATCGTCATCCAACTAATGAGTTTTAGTTTCACGTCCATTTAAAAAAAAAAAAACAGGTGAAAACCCCAAACATCAACGAAATTTTCGTCGGCCTTCGCAGCGTTTTGGTTCCTCCACTTCCCCAACGATCCACTGGTGCCAAAGCGCAAGTTGGAGGTTTCACGCCAGAGGCTGTGCAGTTTGTGATGGTTCTTCCGCATCCTCTTCATGCCTGGGCCACGCACATTGGGATATGTGTATACATATAATATGATACGATAGGATATGACATGAAATGATAGGGATAACAGGACATGAACTATAGTAACTATACGGTATAATGGGGATACATCTGTGACAGTAGATATCTATGTGGATATCTGAGAACATCTCCACCGAACCTGGGAAATCCCAGCGGCGCCATGGGGATTAGAAAAAAAAAACATGGAGGGTATCTTAATTTTTACCCGGTAAGTTCCACCTTTAAGTGGTTCTATTATGGCATAGTTCTACGATCTAAAATCTAAAAAAGGGGTTGTAATATATATATATCCCAACTTATGGGGTTTGATACCCTTGGTCCCAGGTAAACCACCTCAAATATACCCCCATCCAAGGACATCTCAACTTTCACCCAGATGCTCTTGGCGTAGCTGCCGAACAAATCCTTCAAGCCCGTCTTACAGCCCTCATACTCCTCCGAGCCAGGTATGTTGGAGAAGCATTGGATGCAGATGAAACGTCCATGTCGGGTGTATTTGTGTTGTCCATATGTATGTATATATATATACATACATATGTAAATACATATACAGATATTGTGTTAATTCATTGCAGCAGTGGATGGAACAAGTGCATGAATCAGAAAACCCTAGAGCCGTGAGACGTATTTGTGCACCCCATGGGACGCCCCTCCTTCAGATGTTTGAAAGTGACCCGGTAGCGCGCCACTTCTTCCTCTGCTTCCTTTGGCTCCATGGCTAGAAAATGAAACGGGGGAGATGGCCATCCCCCAGTTTCAAGTATATCCAACTTTTCAGCATTGGTGTACCAAAACATACTAAAACAAAAGCTACTTGGTAAACCCAACAACAACCACTGGGCTTTTTGGAATTTGACGCTGCGTTTTCTTATTTGCCGTACCAAAACATACCAAAACCGACCTTCTCGGAACCTTCAAAGTCTGGATACCCAGAGTGCATGACTGACTCCACCCAGTCACAGATTCCAACTGCATTTTCACACTCTGCAACACCCTCTGACGCACAAATCTCTCCATGCCCGTGAAATCCCCATGTGCTTCAAAACTCCCAACATTTCAGGGTGGCTAAGTTGGGTCAACCAAACAATTTGCATCAATTTGCTTTGATTTCCAAGTTTTTTTCGTTCATGGTCATCCCCAAGTTTTTTCCCAGTTCCATCTACCCAAAAACTCTCCCGTTTCCCCAAGAACTTAGACTCCCAGGCAGCCCAAAAATCTCCAGGGCACGTCCAAGTGTTGATCCAACTTGTTGCGGATCTTCCACCAGAGATGGTCCAGGGTCACTGCCGCCTCACTACTCTTCCAGCTCTTGGCGTCCTGGAATGGAGATGAATGGAGTTGGCGGAGATTTTGGGGAAATGGAGGATATAACTGATATAACTGATATATATATATATATATGTGTATATATAACTGGGTGAACACATGGTAACCCCTAATGTTTGGCAAGGTGCAAGAGTCAGAAAAAAGGGTGGATTTTTCTACATGGAATTACATGGATCTACATTGTAGAAATGTAGACAGCACCCCAATTCATTGCCATGCTTTTGGGTGAAATCTTAGGAGTTTCTCCACATCCACCGTTCCACTCGTTCCACCGGGTTCCAGCGACACCTCCTTGGCTTTGTGGCTCTGATGTCGGTAGACACCCAGCACTTGCTGCTGTTTGTGCAGGTCGTGCTGCAATTTCTCCACCTGCGCGAAGAGTGAAGTTGATTGATCCAGCAGATCTGTAAGCGACAAGAGTTACGATGGGCTTGTCTTGAAACCGGAAATCTGGCAATGGGGCAATCTGAAATCTACAAATCTACAAATCTACGTGAAATTGCAAGATTCTTGTGATACTCAAATATCCTCGACTCATTGGCAGGCAATATTCAATACTCTATCTCTCTGTTGGTGAATTTCACCATGTCCTGTTGCTCAGTTATCCTCATCCTCACGACACTCCTGAACTCAAACCAATCAAGCCCCAAAAAGTGCACGGTTCCGTGGCTTGTGGGCCATTTTCATAGGGACAATGAGCATCGGAGCCTCCCGCGCCACTTGCTTTGCCACTACCTCTGCCTGAGAGAGCAGGCTAAACCACGCTAAAAATGAATCTTCATAATCTTCCCTTGGGCAGTATCCACCCACCAACAGCATTTTCATCCCTTTTCGCTGCTTAAACGTAAATCATCTTCAATCTCTATCTTTGTCAGGTTTTGATGCTTGAAATCTTGCCGGTTTTGCCTCTTAAATCCAATCTTTCGTTTTGCTCCCAACTTTTCCCCATTGTTTCTCCTTAAACATCCCACCTTGCTGACACCATCGCCACTGCTCTGGAGCGACTGGTACAAGGAGACCACTTGCGCCTGGAACTCACCTGCCAGGGCCGTCCGGTTGACAATTGGGAAATCAATTCAGAAGATATGGTGCAACGCAATGAACGCCATCCAATAAAGCTACCGGCTACCGGGTGGAAGAAACTTCTCCCATGATTGAATGTCGAAAACATATGAAAAGATTAATCATGTTTCTTTCAGGTGCCTCTGGGAGAACGGACATCAATTATTGATGTCACAAATTCATCGCTGCCCCACGAGTTCCTATCGAAAACCCCCTTTAGACAGCGAGGTTTTCGAACCACCAAACAAGGGATAGAAATAATATGAAATCACCGTTCCATCATCGGGTGGGCAACGGGAAACATTGACGTCATTCAAGGAAGCTCCCCATCCTTAGTGTCGAAAAACACACGTGTGACTGGGTTCTGAATGGATTTCAACCATGATCATTGACCAGTTCCAATCTTGGGATGACAAAGCCCCCAAAAACAGCTGGCATATGTTGGCATAGGGGTGGGCAGCTTGGGCAGCTCTCCCTCAAATTTCGGGAAGGACCAAAATCTGCAGCCCACAGTTGGCATGGCTAGGTTCGTCCTTTCTTGAAAAGCAGGTTCCACCTATTTCTACAGGCCGTTGTGGCAAAATAGATGCACAATACTAATCACATTGATGACCGAAAAACCATAAACACTGGAGCACACCTTGAACTGAGCTGTCACCACCTTGCTGGTGCCGGGTGAATCATGGTGAATCGGGATAAAATCACGAATCAGATTGTTGATTGCTACATGAGCCATGAATAAATACATTTTAAAAAATACCCATTGAATCTGGGTTTTGATGATCTCCAATAAACCAGGGCATATAACCATATAATCCCCATAGTCCGCCTGCGCGTTGAGCCTTGTTGGTCAGGTTGCCTGTGGACTCCAACCTTAAGGATGTGTTTGTGTGGAGACTTTAGTAAATTCTGTATATGGTTTGATATATATATATACTGTCGGGTAAGGTAAAGGAATGGAATGGACTGTATATAATATACAGTCCATTCCATTCCCTTACCTTCCCTTACGTATACCCTTACCTTGCGTTGCATTGCATTGCATTATGTTAATCGATAAATCATGATAATTCACCAACCTGACCTAAGGTCATATTGAGATGATTGGGCATACGAACCATTTTCTACAGCATATAATGTTGGTAATGTTGCAGGGTGTCGATTTCTCTATCCATCTATCTATGTATATACATATCGTACATACATACATACATACATACATACATACATACATACATACATACATACATACATACATACATACATACATACATACATACATACATACATACATACAACATACATACATACCTATACATACATACACATATACACATATACACATACACAATACACATATGCACATACACAATATACTATATACTATATATATTATATATACATACATATACATACATATATACAGATATATACATATACACATATACATATACACATATACACATATACATATACACATACATATATACACATATATATACATATACATATATACATATATACATATATACATATATACATGTATACATGTATACATATATACATATATACATATATACATATATACATATATACATGTATACATGTATACATGTATACATGTATACATGTATACATGTATACATGTATACATGTATACATATACATATATATTATGTAATATATAATATACATATTTCTTTCCAATATACAAGGAACATAGGTATCTGCTGAACCTGTTCTCGTCTTTGGGATTGTGTAATGGTATTTGGTATGTGTTAAAACATCTTGAATTTGTAGGGTTTGGATGGCTTTCCAATATGAAACATTGTGATGTTCATCGTTGATGGGGCTTGGTGGGTTGAGGTCGCGATAAATCACCCAAATGGATATCTTGCGGCGCTAAACAAATATAGCCAGTGTTTCACTGCGTGAAAACACCGGAAGGGGTTGTCAAAATCAACCCCCAAAAAATGATTCAAATGGGTAAACTCGGGTTTTTTCGAGAACAGCGTCACAATCTACAAGGTACAGCGGATATGTCTGGCTACCAGTCAAAATGGGTGTAGAACACAGTCGTAGAAGTGGCAATGGGTCACCAGTAAAACCTTGGACAATGATTTTGAAACATGTTGAAACTAGCAGTGGGGATATCAAACACCAAACACCTGGGGTTTTTCGAACACCGCAGTTCTGATCTCTTGTTCCATCCAATTTTACAAACGAACCGCACTCCGTGGGCTACTCAGCCCGTTCGTTTCAGCAGATTCCCATCATACTCCGATATCTCCCATGACCTTCCAGTAAATTAACATGACGACCCTGCCAGTCATCGGGGTTGGTTCATATTAGTTTCCAGTAAAGACTGGTGATTTTCAGGGTCGGACTGTCAAAAAAAACCAGAGGGTACTGTCTGGATCTGTCTGCTAATCAAACATGGCAAATCCACCATGGACTGTTCGATGATTTTCCAAGCCACCTCCTTGGCCAGTTCGGGTGATATCATCCATTCTGTTGTCAATTATCCCAAGCTTCATTCCTTAAACACTATTGTTGGTTATATCCCACTAAAATTCCCATTGAACCCCATTGAACACCAGACGATCAAAGGACAGTTCCCATCAAATCCCCTTCAAATCCCTATAAAACATCAGTAAATCATATAAAATCCCCTTAAAATCTCCATTAAACATCATTAAATCATATGAAATCCCATTAATTAAATCACCATAACACACCATGAAATCATATTAAATCAAAATCCGCCAAGTCGCAGCTGGGCGGAGTCTAAGAAGCGGTTCAGGGCGCTGCCGGCCAGGCGTTTCCGGGGGCCAAAGGAGGCCGCCTGCAGAGGATTCAGCAGCCAGGATCTTGTATGTATGTATGTATGTGTATGATTGATGTATATGGAATGTATGTATGTAGGTATGTATGTATGTATGTGTGTATGTATGTATGTATGTATGTATGTATGTATGTATGTATGTATGTGTGTATGTCTGTAAGTAAGTAAGCAAGTAAGTATGTATGTATGTATGTATGTATGTATGTATGTGTGTATGTATGTATGTATGTGTGTATGTATGTATGTATGTATGTATGTATGTATGTATGTGTGTATGTCTGTAAGTAAGTAAGTATGTATGTATGTATGTATGTATGTATGTAAGTGTGTATGTATGTATGTATGTATGTATGTATGTATGTATGTGTGTATGTCTGTAAGTAAGTATGTATGTATGTATGTATTTATGTATGGATGTATGTGTGTATGTATGTATGTATGTATGTATGTGTGTATGTCTGTATGTATGTATGTATGTAGGTATGTATGTATGTATGTATGTATGTGTGTATGTCTGTAAGTAAGTAAGTAAGTATGTATGTATGTATGCATGTATGTATGTATGTATGTGTGTATGTATGTATGTATGTGTGTATGTATGTATGGATATGTATGTGTATATGTATGCATGTATGTATGTATGAATGTATGTATGTATGTGTGTATGTATGTATGTGTGTATGTATGTATGCATGCATGTATGTATGTATGTATGTATGTATGATGGTTGGATGGATGGATGGATGGATGAACGGATGTATGTGTGTATGTGTGTATGTATGTATGAATGTATGTATGATTGATGTATGTATGTATGTATGTATGTATCGTATGTATGTATGTATGTATGTATGTATGTATGTATGTGTGTATGTATGTATGTATGTATGCATGCATGTATGTATGTATGTGTGTATGTATGTATGGATATGTATGTGTATATGTATGCATGTATGTATGTATGAATGTATGTATGTATGTATGTATGTATGATTGATGTAAGTATGTATGATTGATGTATGTATGTATGATTGATGTATGTATGTATGTAAGTAGGTAAGGTAAGGTAAGGCAAGGTAATGTCATGTAAGGCAATGTAAGGTAATGTAAGATAATATAATGTAATGTAATGTAATGATATGTATGTATGTAAGCATGCATGTATGCATGGATGCATGTATGCATGTATGCATGTATGTACGTATGTACCTATGTACGTATGTACGTACGTACGTACGTACGTATGTATGTATGTATGTATGTATGTATGTGTATACGTATGTATATATGTATATATATATATGTATATGTATATGTATATATATATATGCATATATGTGTGTGTATATATATATATACATATGTGTATAAATAAATGTATGTATATATGTATGTATGCATGTATGCATGTATGACACATAACAATAATCTGTCATAGATGGGTTAGCCCGGATAGCCCCACGAATTGGGGACTTATTAGCCTGGATTGATCCTTGACTCCTGTAAATTGTGTGTGTTTTTTGTTTAAGTTGGGGTTTGTTGGGTAAAGTGGGTGCATTAGTCGATATAGAATAATAGCACCACGGAATGCAAACCAAGAATACCACGGAATACCCCAATTTATGATCGTTTTAATAGGGGGCATAATGATCAACCATCAAATTTGGTGTCCCTCCAAAATGTCAGAAAAAAAACATAATTCCAAACAATATAACAATAAAACACCAATCATCATGTCATATCTCCGAGTGCCAGATCTTTCCCACATATTTTAAGACATTCTTTTGCTAAGTTCTATCCCACTCCGGTTTTATCCCAGCTATTCCGAAGACTCAAAGATATATTTTTGCCGATATGTCGCATGGAGTGTTTCCCATGTTTTATTGATTATATCAACATATTGCCACGGTGACATGTATTTCTTTTATACACATTATATATATAATATGGTTATGGGATGATATGGGTCGAAACCCTGGTACCTGGGCACCCAAAGTCATAGCTGGTTTATGGATGGTTATCCCTCCAAATATGGTCGAAGGAAGTTTAGAAGTCAAACTTCCGACAATATGGACAGATGAAAAGCAGAGTAGGGCAGAGGCAGAGAGAAGAGAAAGATTAGAAGCAAGAAGAGTAGAAGAGAAAGAGTAAGAAGACAGAAGATGCAGATGCGAGAAAAGGTAAAGTCGCGAAACACTGTGTTTTTCCAATGATTTGGGAACATGAGATCATGCCAGGCAAAAGAGGTAGTAATCAATTAGCTGTGCTTAGGTAAGTAGATATATGTTCAGCCTGGCTTCAACGATGGCCGAGATATTGCCAAACTTCTTGTACTCTTCCGCATTGCGATCCCCCCACTTTCTGACGACCGCCCGTGCCTTGAAGACACTGCATTTTTCATTTTTAATTTATGCAGTCAGTGCAATATCTGTGACTTGAAAATATGATAAGTCATAAGCAGTAAACAACAGTACCCAGAACTACCCTTTGTTTTATTTTCAGCTGAGTCACTAAGTCGGCCTTGAGCAGAGTGGGCAGCTTATCCGATGGCTTATCCCATGGCCAGTTGTCAGACGCCTGAATTCTGAAAATTGGGATCACTTTAGCAAATATCATTTAAAAAAAACTATTATTAATTTAATAATGTTACTTAGTATAAATAATGGTATAATAATAATTATTATCATTGATATAATAAATAGTTATATATATATATATTTATACGTGTATATATATATATATCAATTAAAAACCGAAACCTGCTGCTCACTAAAGATTGAAAAATCCAAAGCCATTCTGCCTGACAAGGGGAAGATTCTGAAAACATAGTAGGCTAGTTCCTCTATTCAATATATATTAAAACTGCAAGGTTCGAAATCAAAAATGCAATAGTGTCGCTCACATGTCTGCATGGACTTGGGTTAATGATTTGCTGTATGAGATCTCATTTTTATCACAGCTAAGTTGCAGCATGCCAGACGATGTCCAGGGACTTTTGTTCCAGCCCACACATGACAGCCCGCGGAAAAATGGCTGGAGCAGCCAGCTCCAAAACCTGGAG